ATTCCCTTGTTCTATTCAACAAAGATCTCAAATTTGGGCATTTCTCCTCAAAAGTTCTATATTTTGCAATTAAGTGATACTATAAATGTTAAAAACCTAAAATCTTGCAGTGTTTCCTCTCTCCTCTCACCCAATATTTTGCAGGCGTGTTTGTGTTTTCTCCCATCTCTACAAATGTAACTGTGATGTTTCCATCTGGAGCCGGGGTGGAGGTGCGATGTAGGGGTGAAACTATGACCACCACTGTCCTGCTGCCAGAGGAATTCAAAAACTCCACTGTGGGACTGTTGGGGAAGATGAATGGTGACGCCAAAGATGACCTTGCCCTCAGCAATGGGCAGCTGGTGCAGAACCACAGCAACCCAGAGGAGCTGTTCAACTTTGGGGCGAGCTGTAAGAGATTGCCTCAGATAATGTGTTGGTTTTTAAACTAATAGAATTGAATAATAAGAATTTAAACAAATAACAATAATAAATAAATAAATAAGGTTTTTTTTTTAAGATAGAAATATAAATAATAAAAATAATATCTGGGCAGGTTCTATTAGAAATTTTCCTATATTGTGTAAATCTTTCACCAGTAATAGTATGTATGTTTAATCAGGGTTTGTTTTTGTCTTACAGGGGCTGTAGAAAACACATCCGCTTTGTTTACATATGATTCCGAATACCTACTGAACACATATTGCTTCGTTCCAAGACATGATCCAAATTTTCTGCCAGTATTTTCTGTCCCTGAGGATCCAGATGATCCGCTTAACACCCAGGCAGCTGAGATATGCAGTGGAGAGGGATCTCAGTTCTGCAGGTGAGAAGAAAAGATGACAAAGAGTTTGGTTTAAAACAGCAACAGAGCCAACGTAAGGTTTGAGTTAGAAAACCGTCACCCATAAAGATCCAAGCACCACTAGAATCTCTTAATCTTGAGCAAGTTGTTTTATAGTTACCAAGTGAGAAAACAGTGAATTTCTTAAAACTGGTTTGGTCTTAGATGAGTTCCTGCTCCAACACAGCTTATTTCTTGCTCCATTAATTCACATTAACCTCTACAAGACCCAGCGTTTGATCCAGGTGTGTTGAACCTGGGAAAAATTAAATCATGCTATACACCAATCGCTGGGGACTGTCTTTGGACACCACTGTTGTGAATGATCTGTGCGTGCCACATTGTATTATTCGTCAAACAAATGGCACTTAAGAGTCCTGTTTCAATTAAGATTTTGAATCTTTACATTAATAAGGAAACATACGAGTTATTTACCCCGAGTCAGATAGAAGCTCCTTATAATATTTCAAAGAAGAACCTCAAATAATATGAGTCACAACATTTTATCTCTCTTTGGGGTCATTGAAGTATTTTGAATGAAATTTACAAGTAAAGTTATTTGTACTGAGAACAAAACACAAAGGTTGTGTTTGAAAGAAGAAATGTGGTATTATTCTTCATGAGTGCTTTTTATTTTCACTGTAGATATGACATCCTTGTCGGTCGCAGCCCGATAATAGGAAATGCTACAAGAGTTTCTTTCCAGAGTCACATTTCTCTGGTGGATGATCTGAAGCCAGGTATGATGTTTTGAAGAACCTCAGAGATTTACATGATGAAGTCCACCTTGGCGTCACATTGTTGGTTTTTATTTCGTGCAGTGATCTCCTGTGGATGGCTCCCACCACCTCCTAATGGGAAAAAGCAGGGAACCACCTACCTACAATGGGCCACGGTCAAGTTTTCTTGTGATGACGGCTACAAGCTCAGTGGATCAGAGGAACGCACATGCCAGAGTGACGGCAAATGGTCTGGAGAAGACGCCAGCTGCAGTGTTCCCAGTATGAAAAGCCAGGAAAGATAAAATGAATCAATAAACCATGAAACTTTGATTTTCACAAATCAACAAATTAGTGTCTCTACATGTGTCTGAGTTTGATCTTGAGTTTGTCTCTCAGTGTGTTCTCTTCCAATCAACATGTGTTTTATATGAACAGATTGCACTGTCCCTATGCTCCATTTCCTCGAATCAGAAACTTCTCAGAGTTCAATCATGGAACAAAACGTTGGAAATGAATCATTACTACACTCCTTTTACATGATTTTGGTTGGGAAGCAACTGTTGATTTAATCCTTTATGAAATACAGTCATATTCACACTTTTGTAAATCTATTTGATTCAATTCATCCAGCTCTCATGTGAAGAAATTCAAATCATTATGCAGTTCAGTGGGAGAACATAAAGGCTCCTGATCCTGGTTTTCTTGCTGTGTGTTTTCCTCCCTTTTATCTACCTCCATTTCATCTTAGATACTTCGAATAAACAGGCTCTACTTCAACAAAATATTTTTAAAAAAGAAGAGATCTCACCAGCATAATTTGGGTCCTATGGCTATGACAATTTGAAAATAGTGAGGGAGATAACATCACAGGGAAGTGACTAGAAAAAACAGGAAAGCAGGATATTTTTATATGCCGATGATGTGATCCTCTATTTAAAAAAAAAAAAAAAATTGAGAAGTTAAAGTTAAATAATTCTGGAACCTGGTAAAATGAAGATCTTTCAAATTTTAGTATTTTGAGTATATGTGCTTAAACTTGTCCACTGCTTTTCAGACACAAATATAACCGATATTTTTTGTGTGCTGTGGTTATTATGCAGTGGAACATCTGAACGTTGACTAATATCACACCAAAAGTTTAGTAGGCGTATTTCATTAAACGACAATTTGTATCTTTTGAAGGGCTTTGCATCTTTAACTTAACAATGGCCATCCAACATATATTGGTCTTGCTCAGGCTAAATAGGTAAATCTAGGATTATAGTTGTTCTGTGTCAAACCTAAAGAGGTATTTGATTTGCTGTCATTATTTAAAATTATATTTTTCATCCAGTTGGTAGACACAGTGCTCAGACACAACACTGGGTGGCTTCGTGTTTGATCACTGCTGATTGTTAAAGTTTGATTTGTTTAATATTAGTGCAATAAAGAGTTATAACTGAGGCCCTGAGGCTATGAGGAGTTACTTGCTGAAATAATTCAAATCCTTGTTGTGTTTCAGGTAACATTGCTGGAATAATTGCTGGTTCGGTCATTGGATCATTAACTCTAATTGTAATTATAATAATGATAATTCTCCACTCCAGGAAACAGAAAAGGTAATCGATTAAATTTTCTCGCAAAAAAATAAAAACATAATACATCAACATATTGGGATTAAAATCCACAAAGATTTATTTATTTTTTTTTTTTTACTTTTTGTTGTGGTTTCATTTATTGCGGTTCCTTAATTTGCCTCACTTTCTGTTTCAGGAAAAGTTCAGATTCAGATGACGAAAGAAGTAATACCTCCAAGCTCTAGTTCTAAATGCCATGTTTTATCTGCATTGAAAATATGCAGGTCATAAAGATTAAAAAATGTACACCCGGAAGAAAACATTGATTATTCTCAGAAGGTACAAACAAGTTCTGTATAATTTGTATTTGTGAGCAGAGAAATAAAAACAAGGTAAACTTTGAATTTAAGCCAATTTTTTTTCACACAAAAATCTAACTTATTAATATTGCACCTTGACTTTTAAAGAATGACTATGAGTAATATTGTGTTTTACTAATATCTGTATTTTCAATATTGTATATAGTATATTTAGTGTAGGTTTTTTTTTAAAAATCAGTAAAGCTATTAATACTTACTTGTATGCCAGCGTTTTTCATTGTTAGTTAATTCTACAACTTGACATAAAATGTTGTTAGGAGCTCAGGACTAATAAACTTCTTCCGGCAGCTGATAACTGAACATAATTTATAGACTAATTCATAATAGTAATAATATTGTTATTATAGTGCATTGTGTTTTATTCATGCATTATTTTAAGCATATGTGGACCATATGCATATACGGGTGCATTTTTAACACTGGAGTTTGTGTAGGTACGTAACATTTTCGTATATGGAAACAATCTAAGCATATTTGCATTGAAGTAAATCTGTTTTAAATCAGTTTGGCCTCTTTTCTGACACCAAAACAGTTTTGACACATTAAAAAGCAAACATCTAAGGATTTAATGTTTTATTTGTGTGAAACATTTTAGCAGTAAGGCATCTTATCAAATGCCAAATTTACACATCAGAATGTTTATTGATGTTTCATTCAACATAATTCAAGTATTATTGTATGGTTTTAACACATGAATGTTTAGTTTCAATGTTTAACAATTTATTCATTCGTGTTGAAAGCCTGTACTGCGCTGCTTCAAATCAAAGACAGTACAACACACAAACATAAAGGTTTGGTCAAAATAAATGTGACAAAGATTTGAATTTCTTCTACACTTTGCTTCACTGAATGTGTTTACCAGATCTGACCTGACCTTTGAGCATAACTGAGAAAGCTTCAGATATTAAGTCACTAATAAATACCTCCCTCTCCAAAGTCATGATTTGCCCTGCAGATGCTTACTTACTGCATTACTTGAACAACTTGTCACCCACAAAGATGCGACTGTGAAATTCCTCACTGCCATCTGAATTCACCAATCCCTTCATCCATCACTTTGTCCAGGATCTCAACACAACTTTACCCATGTGTTTGGGTTTTCTTAGACTAAAAAAGATTATCCAGAGATAATCTTATTTTGTTGTTTTTAGCTCAGTGTTTAGTTTAGTGACTGGAAGTAACTCGTTTGTTTACTGTGTGACCTTAAATGAGCCGTTGTTCCCTCACATAACAGACTGCAGTGGCTTCTGTGGACAAAGAGCACCAGTATGTGACAAGACTGCAGAGGCCAGAGCTGAATAAACAGGCTTCTTGCTGCTTCCAGTAGGAGTCAAGAGTTATAAATACAAATAATTAGCATTGTCCGTTCCACCTACCGAGGCAACAGAGGAGCATCACCTAGACTCGTCATATATCAAGTCATTCTCATGTCTTACATCACACTTTCTGCTGTGCAAGTGCTACATTGAGTCAGCTAGATATATAAAGTGTGTGTGTTCAGCACTGCATACCTCAGAGTAGCTTTCCTCCTCAGACTTCCTCCTCACTTGTTGCTACATGTGAGCAATAAACTACAGCTGCTCTATTGTTTCGTCAGTGTTGGAGCTGCAGGAGCTGCCGAGGTTGTCTTCAAGGACATGGCTGAGCAAAACAAACTTTTACCTCGTCCCATCTTCCGTAGAGATGTGACCTGGGAACCCTTCCTGAACTGGACCCAGCCAAGCCGCATCTTTGCTCAAGACTTTGGGCTCCCTCCTTTCCTGGAGCCCGGTGACATCAATTGGCTTGACTGGGCAAAGAAGAGGCTCGCTTCTTCCACCTGGCCGGGGTACATTCAGTCCCCTCTTCTGCCTCCACTGACCAGTCAGCACGGTGAACAGGACACACCACAGGTAACGTGTGGTGTGTCAGAGGTCCAAACCGGACAGAACTGCTGGAAAATCACCCTAGACGTCAATCACTTCACACCAGAAGAGATAACAATCACAACCAAGGACGGGTACTTGCAAATATCAGGTAAAGTATTGCTTGATTTAAAAATACATTTCTGATTAAATGTTTGCTAAAGTTGCAATAACATATTATTCTTAAGCATTGATATTCTTCGAAAAATTGGTTTGTGTCAAGGAACTCATGAAGAGAGGCAGGATAAGCATGGAGTGGTCTCAAGATGCTTCAGTCGTAAATACAAGTAAGTTGTCTGAGAGTATAATCCATTATACTGATTATTAGACCTGCATATGAAACACAGTTGTTGACAAACGAACTGAGAAAATCAAGTTAAAGAAGCAGGCAAAATGAGAAAGGAGTATCAACAACTCAATAGGCTTTATATCTTTCTATGTCAATAACATTTTTCTTTCATTAACTTTCCTCTCAGAAACAAACTGTGTGGTTGAATAAAACTGATTTGAAAATCTCTACATGAATATGACTGATCATACTCAGATGATGCAAAATATATAATAGAGATAAAAAGAAAAACCCCCAAACTATTACTGCATTTTGTTTGGTTTCTCTCAACAAAACAACCTCAAATATGAAGTACTTCTGTTTGTTTCAAACTGACGAACTGTATCTGTTTAAGGTTGCCACAGGGGGCCGATTTGCAGCACATCAGTTCGGCGCTGTCTGATGGAGTCCTGTCTGTAGAGACTCCCGTCTCTGGCACATCTGTCAGCAAACCATGCAGTGAGATTGTGTTCAGGATGATAGATTCAGATCAAAAGACAAAAGAGAAGTGAGCTACTATTGACAAAGAAAAAAATAAATTGTTGTATTAATCTTTAAGTAAGATTATTTACTAAATTTGCATGTTTTAAATATTGTAATGTAAAAAGCATCTAGACTATTTTAACATTTTGTTTTTAAAATTGAAGAACTTAACTTAATTTTTTCTTCTTTCAAGCAAAATAAAAAGTAGTTTAGTCTTCTGACTTCTTCAGACAAACTTGGGGTGAAGAATTATCAAAATGACGCCTTGATATAAATAATCTACAAATGTAATTCAACAAAAAACGCTTCTGACATTTAAATAAAAAAATAATAAAAGATTTTATATAACTGGGGTTCAGTGTTTGGATTTTCTGTATTTTTGGGCTTTTGCGAATAGGTCAACACCGTCATCTAGTGGTCAAACGGAATACTACATCCAAGTGGTTCAAAAGCAAGAAATGCGGATGCTTCTGTTTAAAAATTGTTTAGAAATACTATTTTATTGATCAGCACAAAATTAAAAGGCTTTCACACAACCTTTGCAACCATCTAAGGGAAGTCATCAGGCGTTCAGTCATCTGTGGTATCTGATATGTGTGGTAAGTTACTGCTGTTATTATTTTTTTTTTCCTACCATAAACGCTAGCAGTTTACACCAATCAGTCATAAAATTGTGATCACTTACAGGTAAAGTCAATAACATTGATAATCTCTTCATATTGTCCTTGTTATTGGACGAGATATTGGCAGCATGTGAACATTTTCCCTCAGCACTTAGTTGGCAATCATAAAAATGGGATAATGAAAGCATTTGATTGAAACTGGTAAAGGCCAAATTGTCAGTCAGTCTGTCCTCTTTTAGCAGGATTATGCACCCTGCCACAAAAAAATAAAAAAAATAAAATAAAAAATAGCCCAGGAATGGTTAGTTAAGCACCACAAGCATGAGGTGATATAAAGAGCAGCAACTTCAGATCACAGTCACTTGCTACACCAAGTCGCACTTGCTACTCAGTGTAGGTGCTGTACAAGAAAAGGGAAGGTGCAGGATGCACCGCAGAACTTTAAAGGAGCTATAGTAGTGGCAACATTTGGAAACCAGACATCACAATGCATTCTTATGGTTTTGGTCCAGGCCATTCCTCAACTACTCAGGGTTTTGGCAGAAAAAGGTGCACATCTATTTGGTAATAATATTATGCCCGATTACTGTACAGTAAATGCAGACTCCCAACATGTCACTGGACAGAAGGAGATAAAGTAAGAGAACTGTCCTGCCCCCTTATGGCAGCTTAAGGACATAGCGACATGCCTCAGGAATGGCATGTCGATAAAGCGAAACAGGTGCACCATCACATCAGAGATCAGAGATTAAAACAACACAGACAAATTCAGTTCCACTTGTTATTCTCTTGTACATTCTAGCTAGTGTTAGCACTGCAGTACAGCTAAGTGTTACAGGATGTTAGAATAGCAACAGTTTAAAAATCCCTTTAGTCATTTCTTCCCAGTCTATGGAACTGTTTATGTTCTGGTTATCAATTTGTGTTGTGAGCAATTGTGTGACTTTAATGACAATGATCATGTTGCCGGTGTTTGTAACATTCAAATAGATGAAATCAAGAAAAGTTTTGGACATGTTTTTAGAAGTCAGATCTAGTTGATTCTAGTTTTTCCTTCATAATACAGTAATCAGACAGTAGTTGAAGCTCCATATTATCCAATTTGATCTTTAAGAAAAGCAATGTTAAGTTATAATGAAGGTATGTAAGCCACACACAAAAAAAGTTTTATATTGCAAATCCTTTACATCATGGAACATTCTTCTTCTCATGTAACAGATATCTTAAAAGATGATAGATTAAAAGAAAGGGAGAAAAGAAAGATTGCATCCCTTTAGAAATTACCTCAGCCTTGTTGAGATGTGCCTGTACTGTTGTGTCTCTTTAAAGGAAGGGGGAGTGTAGGAAAGGGACAGAGGAAAGAGATGAATAGAAGGCACCAGAACCACCTACCATGACCAAGTCCGCTGTAAATGTAGGGCAGAAATTCGAGTGGAATACAAGCGGATCATTGAACGACACATCCGTGGAAAAATCATGTTTGGATGGGCCTTATCAGAATCAAGTGTTTTTCAACATGGTACCACATTCGATCACAGGAAGACAGGGAAACCATTTTTTCTCCCAAATATCTCCTGCATTTTGAAACGGAAAAGAAGAGAGTCAGGAAGACACGTCGCTGAGGTATCTTTCTGATTATCCATGGTGGGCTTTGTATAATTCGCCGTCATCCAGCGGAGCCGTTTAATTCCTCCTGTTTTCCAAGAGGAGGACGCCAGAGAGAGAACGACTACATCCAGAGGCTGCTCCTTTCGGCGTTGCCTGCAATTGGTTTGGCAATGCCCTTTTCTCTCATAGGAAGGACTTGCACGCAGTAGCCGGGGAGCAAGCAGGGGAAAGGATGCATTTAACGCTGGATGCGTGCTGCTTTCGGGGAGATTCGGCACTGACAGCAGCTCCAGCGGGAAAAACGAGCGCGGAGGGCCTGGGAAGCACCCAGCCCCACTATCTCCTCCTTTTCCTCCCCCCCTGCAGGACCATGCTTGCGTGAGGGATGAGGCCGTGCACAGGGACGCCAGGCCAGAGCTGCGGCCTACATCTAACCAGAGTCGGTCTCTCGACTTCCAGATCTGTGAACACATCACCACCATCAAATCAGCACCTTTGGTACGCTGCGCGCCCGAGCTCCGCCGTTTGCATGAAAACGCGCGCGCGCGCGCGTGCGTGAACGGGCGCGCACGAGTGTCTGTGTTCTCAGCTGTACATCTGTAGTCATGGCAACCAGATCCAGTTAATGGATGTCATCCTCCCCCCCCTCCCACCCCCCCATCTTTAGTTTCCACTCTGCCTGCGCTTTTATGTGTGCGGATTGCGTTTGTACGGACAAATATCTGCCAGATGCCTTCAGTCACAGCCGTCTTGGTTTTTATTACAACATCTGAAAGGCGTCATTTAAAATAGTCCTACTATTCTGATTGGAGAGAGGTGTCTTCGTCAAATATTTTTGTTCATCATGCTCGCTTTTCATCATTATTTTCATTAAAGAGAAAATACTGCAACAGAATTTGACTGTCAACAGAGCTCACACTTTTTATGGGCTTTGATGTGATTTAGCTGCACAAAGTGGCATGTCATTGTGAAATGGAGGGAAAATTTCACTCCCCCCCCCCCAAAAAAAGATCTGATATGCTGAGCTTTATGTGACTATAAGCTGAAAATTTTAAGGATTTTTTTATTTGTCAATTTAGAAGAACGCCCACAATTCCTCAGTTGGATTTCTATAGCTCTGTGTTTTCCGCCAGGATCAAGATTTTGCTCCTTAATGTTCTCTTTAGTTCTGACCAACTTCCCTGATCCTGCTAAAGAACATTTGCCCACAGCCTGATGCTGCCACCACCTTGTCACTGTGGGGATGGCCTGTTCAGGCTTATTGTTTCAAATGTTTGCATTGTTTCCTAGAAGTCCACCCTTTAAGTTGAACTTCTTATGCAGCTGTGTTAATTATCATTCCTATTGTTGGACAGAAGAACTGAACAGCGCACCTTTAGATGCAATATATTTTTATTGTCTGCTTCTGCTTTGAACTACTCAACACTGCTATCCCTGATCTGTATGATGTGTTCCCTTGTCTTATGATACTGTTTGTTCACTAATCTTCTCTAACAGAACCAAAGCCTTCACAGAACAACTTTATTTATGTGAGCGTTAAATTACACTCAGGATGATCCTGTCTAGAGGGCATTCAGAAGCTCATAGGTTGAACTGGATGTTATTTGGGAGCAGAAGGGTAAAGGGGACTCAATACATAGGCAGGCCACACTTTTCAGATTCCTTTTTTTAACACTTAAGTTTTTTAAGTGTAAAAACTCTGTGTAACTGTGACAATAAGCAGAAAAGCTGTAAGATGATGTAAACACAGTGACTGAATCCCACGATTAGTGAGGTTTGAAAAAGGCCCACGTCCAGAGGCCGACTGTGGCACAACGGGAATTTTAATAATGAGAGAGCAAGAAGACTCACAAAAGTCAGAGAGACACGTGGGGATAGGAGGACAATAATGGTAAATGGAGAATGAAAAAAATAAAAAAAATACAGGAACTTAAACACAGGAGAGTGTGATTGTAGACAAGAGGGAGGTGGTTGATTACTGACTGGGTGTAGCTGGGAGAGGAAGAGAAAATGAATAATTAACACTAGGAGCAGAACTGAGACTCAAAGAAACTACAAATCCGTACAAAAAGAATGATACTGATCAAAGAGGGTTACATGCAAAATCACAAGAATAGTTGCAGAAACTGGATTTCTAAATAATGGACAGATGCAGAAATACATTTCAAACAATAATGAATACAGGAACCAGAATAGAGCATTGCAAAACATACAAGCAACAACAAGAAACAGAAACATAATCAACCCCAAAACCAAACATCATGGGACTTAATTCAGAAAGAGAAAACTAAAAATCATAACAAGACAAATGCTCTAGGCTCAAGAATATCCCACACACTTATTTGAAGATTTAATTAAAAGTATAACTCTGCCAAAGCTTTTTTTAAAAAGTTGCTCAGTCAGGTTAATGAAGCCACATTAACCACATTCTTTGTCAAAACACCAAAATTTTCATCCAGTGGTAAAAATGTCCAATTAAGCAGCTCATAAAATTTGTAATGGTAAGTTCTTGCTTTTGCACCTGTTATAAATCACATGACAGCATTCTAATCTATATCTACATTTTGAAAAGACCATGCAGTTTCATTATTATAAATTACACCATCATTGTCTAATGACCTAAAGTAACCTGTGTGCACAAGTGTGCAAAACTTTAAACTGATACTTTGTTGAAGCAGATTTTAATTCACCTTGAACTCTGAGTCTTCTTTAGGTCACAACTGATATCAACTACAATGAAACTGACCAAAATAAAAGTTCAGCTGTCCTGGTAAGATTATTTGAATCCTTTAACTATT